CTCAGCGTCAAAAGCGAGGACACTAGGGGTAGCCATGACGACGACAGTGTAGCAGTGCAAGCAGTAGGGGAAGGGCACGCAGTAACAGTGGTGCTGTGCTCACCAGGCAGGGCAGGTCGGGCGGCTCGGTAGTAGGGCGGCCCGGTAGCTGGGCGGCTCGGCGGCTCGGCTGCTGGGCGGCTCGGCTCCCGGGCGGCTCGGCGGCAGGGCGGCTCGGCGGCAGGGCGGCTCGGCGGCTCGGCTCCCGGGCGGCTCGGCTGCAGGGCGGCTCGACGGCTGGGCGGCTCGGCGGCTGGGCGGTCGGCTGCACGGCGGCTCGGCTGGTGGGCGGCCGGGCGGCTCGGCTGCAGCGCGGCTCGGCGGCGGGGCGGCTCGGCTGCTCTGCTGCTGGGCGGCTCGGCTGCGCTGCTGCTGGGCGGCTCGGCCGCTGTAGAGGAGCGGCGGGGCCGCTGCAGAAGGGCGGCGGGGCCGCTGGGTAGGGCGGCGGGGCCGCTAGATAGGGCAGCGGGGCCGCGTGGTAGAGTGGCGGGGCCGCGCGATGGGGCGGCGGGGCCGAGAGGAAGGGCGGCGGGGCCGCGCGATGGGGCGGCGGGGCCGCGAGGAAGGGCGGCGGGGCCGCTAGGTAGGGCGGCGGGGCCGCGCGATGGGGCGGCGGGACCGCGAGGAAGGGCGGAGGGGCCGCTAGGTAGGGCGGCGGGGCCTCACGATGGGGCGGCGAGGCCGCGAGGTAGGGCGGCGGGGCCGCGCAATGGGGCGGCGAGGCCGCGAGTAAGGGCGGCGGGGCCGCTAGGTAGGGCGGCGGGGCCGCGCAATAGGGCGGCGAGGCCGCGAGGTAGGGCGGCGGGGCCGCTAGGTAGGGCGGCGGGGCCGCTAGGAGAGAGGCGGCGGGGCCGCGAAGACGGGCGGCGGGGCCGCTGAGATGAGTGGCGGGGCCGCAGTGAAGGGCCCGGAGCGCGACTCGGGCTGAGCGCGCTTCGGGCAGGAAAAAAAAAAAAAAAAACGATGTGGTGGGCCCTAAGCACAGTTCCCAAGGGGGAACCTGCTCGATACCATGAGAAGATTTGAACAAGAATGAAGTGAGTACATATAGGAAACCCTAATTGTGTTGTACCCCCTATGGGATACCCCACTATAGCCTACACAACAGCATAAGCTATATATATGTTCTGACAGGCTACACCTGGGCATCGAAAAGAATTACAACGCATGGAAGATTTTCGACGTCCACACCAAGGAAACAGTGGCAGCACGTGATGTGATTTTCTACGAACGACTCACTCTCGACTCCTACCTAGCCAACGTGGAAGAACAACGCGACCTCACCAGTGGACTTCGTGGAGACCGAGCCTTCGCTTCCGCAGCAGACGAAGCTGACTTGGACGAGCAGAACGTGGACGCAGCCTCGGAGGAAGCCGGACCTCTCCCGTACTGCTCCGTCGACATCCCAATGGATGACGAAAACCCTCGCGAAAGCGTCAACGCCGAAGTATTTTATCACTTCGCCGACAACAGTTACGTTACACCTGCATAAGTCAATACCAACGAAGCAAAACGCATAGGGCCCAACTTCATACCTGACCCAGAAGCAGGTGACGAAGCAGCTTATCCCGCGGATACCACACTCCCCCGCTACACACAGAGTGGCCTCCAGATACTTGGCTTGGTCACCGCAGTCCACGGCACTGCGATTCCTAAGGAGCCTGCGACGGTTCAGCAGGCTCTGGGGGGGGAGCACAGGGAAAAATGGCGCGAAGCCATGGACAGGGAATTGAAGGCACTAGAGGAGCGCAACACCTGGAAAGTCGTTCCCATCAGTGTGGCATGAAACAAGACTATACTCACCGGAAAGTGGGTCTTCCGTGTGAAAACAAAAGCAGACGGCACCATCGACAAATTCAAAACACGCTGGGTTGTACGCGGCTTCGACCAGGAACACGGACGCGACTTCACCGAGACATTCGCCCCGGTCAGCCGACACACCTCACTTCGAATCCTTCTCGGGATCGCCGCCATGAAGAAGAAGCTGCGGCAAATCGACGTCGCGAATGCATTCCTCTACGCACCTGTTGACACCGAAATCTTCGTCGAACTTCCACACGGCATTAACGGAGAGCCCAACCAAATCTGTGAGCTGGTAAAGTCCTTGTATGGCATCAAACAGGCACCGAGACTGTGGCAGCAGTACCTGCACGCCAGACTCATTCGCATCGGATTCCGTCAACTACCACACGACCAAGGCATGTACCGGCTCACGAAGGGCGACGACTACATTCTGCTCATTGTCTACGTGGACGACCTGCTCTACATCGGCTCAACTGACAACGTCACCACCTGGTTCGAAGGGGAGCTGCAGCAGGATCTCACTCTCACAGCATCATCGACCGTCACGCAATACCTCGGCCTCAACATTCAGGAAGAAGAAGACGCAATCTACCTCAGCGCCGCGAAATACGCCGACACCATCGCTAAACGCTTCGCACTCACACCGACCACCATCTCCATGCCATATCGCCACGCGGCAGGAAACAACAAGGAAGGATCCACTCCACTAAGACCCGCCGGCATACGCGACTACCAAAGAAAGCTAGGCTGCCTTCTCTTCGCAGCCGTCACTTGCCGTCCGGATCTATCGTATTCTGCGAGCCAACTTGCCACCTACCTCAAAAGGCCTGAAGCAGAACACATGGCGGAACTCGACCGCGCTCTTCACTACCTCGTTAGCACTCCGACGATCGGCCTGACCTATCACAAGAACGGAACGTCAACACCTAAATTAATCGGCTACGTCGACGCCGATCACGCTGGCGACTCTGACAACAGGCGCTCGCGCACCGGCTATATCTACCGACTCGAACCTATCGGACCCATCTCGTGGCAGTCGAGCAAGCAGGAGTTAATCGCCCTCTCTTCAGCCGAAGCAGAATATATCGCACTTTGCTCAGCCACCAAGGAAGGACTATACCTTCGCGAACTCCTGGAGGAAGCCAAGCTAGCCCAGTTACCGAACTTCACCCTGTTCTGCGACAACCAGTCGGCCATTCGCATAGCCAACAAGAACGGCTTCGCGAACAGGACGAAACACATCGCCCTGCGATATTTCTTCGTGAAGGACGAGATCGAGAAGGGGAGACTCGAGCTGTCATATTGCCTCACATCCGAGATGGCAGCTGACTACCTGACCAAGAAGCTCGGAAAGCAGAAGTTCGAGTACTGCATGCTGCTGACTGGACAGAGCCACGTCACCAGCAGCGACACTCCAGAAGCGAAGGGGAGTGTTGGAAACAATTAACTCTAAGCGCCTCTGTCGTGTCGAAACACCAAGTCAGAAGCGAAACGAAGCATATCGAAGCACTGGTGAGTCAACCCTCGGAGGTTGAGCAGTTGCTGGAGGTTACGCGAAAGTCAAAGGTCAGCGACCTTTGACATGACAAATACAGCGCGACAGCAAGGACACACAACTGACTCGTTACAGAGCAGTTGCCCGAGTCGTCACTGTATCGAACCGCAACAGCAACAGTAAAACAGTTGGAACCGTATCTCTTCGTATTCCTTGTACTCTTATATAATCTTGTATCTATTTGCTTTAATCAATTCACTTTGCCCTCACATACCAGCGCAAGGTGGTTCATACCGTAACTCTTCATTAAAACGCTTCCGCTATTACAACAAGTCCTACCCAGAGTTCAGCCCTGCAAAGATCCTAAGGGCTTTTTCTCAGCCCAACACTAAAAACGGAGCAATTCCAAATCACTTCTTTGAGCTCCAAAACTACATTCTTATAAATGTCAATATGAACAGACCCGGGTCTTCTAAAAAATATACCATTTAATTATACCCCCCAGCCTTTTTAGGGCTGATTCTCATAAGACCCTAGGATCTTATACACGGGGGATTACGGTACTTGCATCCCTGAACCTAAATCCCCAAAATGAGGAAAAATGGACTAGAATGGTGGTGGTGCTAGGCTGGTGCAACAACAATGCCTTCAGTTCTACGAACGATGGCTTGGGCTTGGGCAGGATGCGAAGCTCAGCAGCATGCCGGAATGTATGCTCTAATGCATGCCTGTCTGTCGTGCACCCTGCCCTGCTCCCAAATTGGTTCATCCTTCCTACGGTACGCTGGGTTAACCCTATCAGCTTCGGCCCCAGTTACCCAGTATGGATAGCCGCCTCTTTTGGGGACCAACCACAGCCCTTGCTCCAACCAACTTTCCCCCAGTCCTGAAACATGTGAACCGTCAGTACCAGTAGAAGAGTCTTGGAAGGCCATGGGTTCATCATCATCTGACGGGCTTGGAGTCGATCTCCTCTGCCCTCGGCAGCATCTTTGCCAGAGTCTCAATGTACCCTGCCTCCTTGGCCTGCCAGCAGTGCATGCACGTGTGTTCAAGGAGAGGGGGGAAGGGGATGAGAGGAGAGGAGAGGGCTTGGCTTGCGGTCTCAATGGGCTTGGAGTCGATCTCCTCTGCCGTGGGCAGCATCTTGGTGAGAGTCTCAATGTACCCTGCCTCCTTGGCCTGCATGCAGTGCATGCACGTGTGTGTTGCAGGGAGGGGAGCAGGGAGGGGGATGAGAGAACGGCTTGGGCCTCAGTGTACCATGCTTCTCTGCAGTGGTGCCTTTGTGAGTGTATGGTTGTCAAGATAAGAGGTGATCGGGGGTGAAGGGATGAGTGCTGAGAGGGGTTGCGCTCTCAGCCTTGCCACTCACACAGGGGTTGCGCTCTCAGCCTCGCCACTCACACAGGGGTTGCGCTCTCAGCCTCGCCACTCACACAGGGGTTGCGCTCTCAGCCTCGCCACTCACACAGGGGTTGCGCTCTCAGCCTCGCCACTCACACAGGGGTTGCGCTCTCAGCCTCGCCACTCACACAGGGGTTGCGCTCTCAGCCTCGCCACTCACACAGGGGTTGCGCTCTCAGCCTCGCCACTCACACAGGGGTTGCGCTCTCAGCCTCGCCACTCACACAGGGGTTGCGCTCTCAGCCTCGCCACTCACACAGGGGTTGCGCTCGAGGTAGAGTGTGACAAGCGACGCCTTGGGCCCCTCCAGAGCGGCCATGAGCTGCGAGAGCGACTCGATGCGGTTGTCGTTCAGCCACAGGTCCTCGAGCCTGGCGTGGGCATGGGGTGATGGATGGGGGAATGGGGGCAGTAAGTGCTGGTGGTGAGTGCAGGTGGCGAGTGCAGGTGGTGAGTGCAGGTGGTGAGTGCAGGTGGTGAGTGCAGGTGGTGAGTGCAAGTGGTGAGTGCAGGAAGCACGTCCAGAGCGGCCATGAGCTGCGCGAGCGACTCGATGCGGTTGTCGTTGAGCCACAGGTCCTCCAGGCTGGCGGGCCATGGGGTGGCGATGGGCGTGAGGCGGTGAGGGGGCGAGGGGATGAGGGGATGAGGGGCAAGGCAGTGAGGGGCATGAGGGGCAGTGCGTGCGATTGACGTTGGGGCGCAGCGCAGGTGGTCCAGGCTGGCGTGACATGGGATGAGCGCCATGGCATGGATAAAGGCACCCAGGTGAATGAAGGCCGACGCAGTGAGGGGGATGAGGGGATGAAGGGAGGTATCATGCTACGTGCCAAGCAGCGATGGCGCCAGCAGTAGCCAGGCTAGAGACGTGTCAGAACCGCCAGGCTAGAGACGTGTCAGAACCGCCAGGCTAGAGACATGTCAGAGTAGGCAGGTCCAGAACAGAAGAGCAGTGCGGCAATCTCAGCTAGTGCGGCAATCTCAGCTAGTGCGGCAATCTCAGCTAGTGCAGTTCACGACGCCCCTGGTGAGTGCCGCGCACAGCTGGCGAGGGTATGTGGACCTAATAAGATAGGGGAGGACGCACCTACAGCTGACAAGCACCTACACCTCACAAGGGGGGTGGTGTGGAGTGGTGCAGCAAGAAGAATCATCTATCGACTGAACGAAGCGTGGCCAGTGAGGGTGAAACACCCATTGGGTGATCGAAGCACACCTGGTGAGGGTGTTTACCCTACACGGTAAGGGTGTTTAGCCCACCTGGTGCGTGTGTCTAGCCCACCTGGTGAGGGTATCTAGCCCACCTGGTGAGGGTATCTAGCCCCTGCACGTGGGTGATGGCATTAGCAGCGAGGTCCAGAATGCGCAGGTTGGTGAGCGCCTCCAGCCCCTCCATCACACTGATGCCGTTGTTGCTCAGATACAGCTCCTGCAGCCGCGTGCACGACTGGTGGTGGTGGTGGTGGGGGGGTGGGTGGGGAGCAAAGGGAGGGAGGGTTATAGAGGTAGGATGAAGGCCGGTGGCGAGAAAGGCAAGGCACGCCTCCCTTGCACTGTCGCCGCTGTTGCTGTGATACAGTACAGCGGCTTCTGTGCTCTGTGATACAGTACAGCGGCTTCTGTGCTCTGTGATACAGTACAGCGGCTTCTTTGCTTCCAAAAGGGTGACTCATCACGAAGGCCGGCAAACAGGGAGGTAAGTGGGTTGCTCTGCTCTGCAGCACGCTCTCGCACCTCCGATCCGTGTCGCTTACGCACCATCCATGTGAGTCGGTTCCTCTGCAAACTCTCGCCTGTGGTTGCTCACAATCTCGCTATCGCTCCGCACCTCCAATCCGCGCTGGTTGCGCACCTCGAACCCGTGCCTGTGGGCGGGTCGGCTGCGTTGCTCTGCACGCTCATCTTCACCCGCTAACCGCTCGTTTATGCGCTCACACACTCACACTCTCAGCCTTGCACCCTCACACACACTGTCTCACTCCCACTCGCGCACCTCGAATCCGCGCATGCACGTGAGGCGGTTGCTCTGCACGCTGATCTTCACCAGCGCTGTGAGCCCCGCCACGCGCACCTCCCTGATCTTGTTGCGCCCCACCCACAGCTCCTCCAGGGCCGACAGGTGCGATACATTCTCCATCTCCTGGCAGTGCATGGGGAAGGAAGAGCGTATGGGGGGCGTGGGGAGGGCGTGGGATGGACTTTTAAGAGAAAGGCGTCTCTTCCAAGGCAGACAAGGGATAGAGCATGAGATGGGGCAGGCAGATGAATGAGTGCGGGCAGATGAATGAGTGCGGGCAGATGAATGAGTGCGGGCAGATGAATGAGTGCGGGCAGATGAATGAGTGCGGGCAGATGAATGAGTGCGGGCAGATGAAAGGACTCCCTCTCTCTCGGTCAGTGGTGCGCCCAGCAGCCTAAGGCCAGTTCCTGGCCGTGTTCATGCCCATGTGAAGTCACTGGAAATGAGATTTTTTTACCTTTACCTCACACACGCTGATCAACCTTGCTTATACAAACTTGCCTCACCCCCCAACCCATCTCTCCCGGCTCCAGCAGCCTCAGGTGAGGTGTAAGCCTGTAAATCCGAATACGAATATGAATACGTTTTTTTTTTTTTTCTGAGTATTCTCCGAATACTGTGTGGTTTCTTATTCTACCGAATACTGACCGACCCAAAACCGAATACGAATACGATTCGAATACTGTCGAATTCGAATCGAATACGATTAAGTGTCGAATAATAAATTCTGTACAAGCAGTTTCGAACGGCTAATGCATTTTCGACACAGGGTGATGCAGTGTACCTTATAGTACCAACACCACGGTTCAAACCTGCACCACGCGCTATCCCTAACCCCTCAACAGCTACTATCTTGCACGGCTCTCACGAGGCCTCTTGGACACAGACTGCCAAAGATGATAGCCGCATGTAGGGAAAGTATGAGGGGGGTTAATGGTTACGAATACCCCGAATATTCGTTACTCGAATATTCTACATTCACGAATACTCGTGATTTGAATATTTTCAAATTCTCGGTCGATTCCTATTCTCTCGAATTCATGTATTCGAACGAATATCGAATAGTTCTCGAATACCGGATATTCCTCTACAGGATTAGTGAGGTGAGACAACACCTACGGCACATGAATGCGCCGCACCCAATGCGGTTGTTGGCCAGGTAAGGAAGGGAGGAAGGGGAAAGGGGGGGCGGCCTCCCTCACCTTGCTGCACCTCACTGCACCTTGAGCTTGCCCCACCACCCCGCCCCACCGTAATCTTGTTGGACCCCAGCTCCAGTAGCCTGAGCTGCGTGCGTGAACCCCTATAGTGTCTCGATGTGGCCCATGCGGTTGTTTGTTAGCGGGAGGGAGGGGCAAGGTGGACGTGACCTGTCTCACCTTGCTGCACCTCACTGCATCCTCCAAAGCTTGCCTTGCCCCACTGCATCTCATTCCCCACCCCGCATTTAACCAACACCCCCCCCCCCCCCCCCCCCCTCCCCCCCCCCACACACCCCACACTCACCCGGATTTTATTCGACCCCAGCTCCAGCAGCCTCAGCTGCGGTAACCCCTCAATGTGTCCGATGCGGTTGTTCGCCAGGTGCAACTCGCGCAGAGCGGGGAGGGGGACTTACCGTGCTGCACCGCACTGCACCATGACCCTGCCCACCCCCTGTCTCACCCGGATCTTGTTGGACCCCAGCTCCAGCAGGCGCAGCTGAGTGAAGCCCTCCAGCGCCTCCATGTGCCCGATGCGGTTGTTCGCCAGATACAGCTCCCGCAGAGCGGGGAGGGCGGAGGCCGCCAGGGGCGCCATGGCGTGAATGTGATTGTAGGAGAGGTCGAGGAGTGAGAGGGCGGTGAGGGGGGAGACGAGCGGCACCTTCTTCAAGAGGTTGTCCCTCAGTACGAGCTCCTGGGGGTTGTGGGGAGGAGAGGGAGGGAAGAAGGGGAGGGGAGGGCAAAGCGATCTTATTTAAAGAGGCCGTCTCGCAGGACGAGCACCTGAAGGGGGTGGGAGGAGGGGTGGGGAAGAGAGGCGGCGGAGAGTGGGTGGGATTTTATTCAGAGCGGAGAGGTGCAACCGTGCAAGGCAGTGAGGAGCAGGGCGTGCGGAAATGCGGGAGGAAAGGGGGGAGGGTGCGGGGCGGCTGGCGTGGATGTGGTTGGTGTGAGGGTGCGGGGCGGCTGGCGTGGATGTGGTTGGTGTGAGGGTGCGGGGCGAGACGGCGGGGAGGGCAGGGCCGATACGCAGGGCAGCTCGTTCAAGAGACCACTGCGTGACGTGGCGCTGCACGAGCTGCTGCGGGGTGGGAGCGATGGAGGGCGTGGCGCGGGGGGAGTGGCGCGGGGGGAGTGAGAAGGAGGAGAGGGAGGAGGAGAGGAGGGAGAGGAAGGAGAGGGGAGAGAGCGGCGACGGGGGAGAGAGGACGACGGGGGAGAGAGGAAAGATGGGGAGAGGGGGAAATGCGAGGGCTCTGGCTCCCCGCTGATCACGATCACACGCATCCACACCGTCCGCTCCAACAGCCACGACGGTTAGGGGTGACAGGGGTCTGAAATCTCACTTTCAGTGACGTCAGCCGGGTCAAATCCTTCAGCCCCGCTGCAGCCGCATCCGTTATAAGGTTCTGTCGAAACGACAGCTTCTCCAACCGCTCCAGGTCGCCGATCCGCGGGTCCAGCGCGGCGAGGCGGTTGGTGGTGAGGTCCAGATCGGTGAGAGTCGGTGGGAGGGGAATGCCGGCGAGGTCCTTGAGTTGGTTACCAGTGAGGTCCAGCACTTCGCCGTCGTCCGACAGGTACATGTTCAGCTGCGTCGCGCGGCCCTCGGGAGTGTCGTCGTCGTCTTCGCCAGCATTTTCGTCGCCGGGGTTTCCGTCGCCTGCGACGTCGTCGCTCGGCTGCGGCTGCGACGCGTCGGGAGTGCGATGAGTGTCGCCATCGTCGCCAGTAGGGTCGTTATCCGGCATTTTTATAAGGTGGAACCGCGACGAGGACCCTGTTGGAACAAACTCAGTCGCTAACACTGACCTAAAGGGGGGTGCTTGTTGGACGGAATCACAGCAACAGTATTGGAGGATGCGAAGAAAAGCAACCGACAAATTCCCGCACTGCGAATGGCACGAAATTAGCGGCGGTGAGGAAGGTTGGAGAGAGACAAGCTGAGATCGGACGGCGGTGCTTGGAGTGAGCGGAGAGGAGGCGGGTGAAAGTGAAACACGGAGCAGCCCTGCGGCCTGCCTGGTCTGAAAATGCTTCTCGAAACGTCTGGCGAACGATTTCTGAGGAGGAATCGAGGCTGTAGCGTTTTGGACAAGGAGGCCGATTCGCGAATGTCTGACGAACATGGTGACCTCCCTTCGTAAGGCGACATCGCAACCTTCGGTAACCACATTCTGTGAGTGTTTCCCTAACACGGGCCGACTGACTTTTTCGAGCCATACAGGTTTCTCAATGAGGCGCAATCGTCAAGCCGTCGGTTGACGGACCGCGTGATGGCCGTGCGAGCGATGCCGGTGCGCGCCGTTTCGAGCGACGCCCGTTGCGGGCCGTCGTGGTGCTCCGCGTAGGTTCAATGGCGAAATGCGATTCGGCTGTCGCTGCAATCGGCCCGTTCAACGCCTACTAATCGCAGAGTTTGCGCGTTTCGGTGTCGCCTCGAGACGAGCTCGCGATCGCCAAGGAAAGTGCAACTTTCAGCTCGTCTCATGACGCCTCCGCTGCCGCCATGGCGACAAGCTTTCAGCGGAAAGGTTTCCGCAGCAGCGCGGCCACCGCGGTAGCATGAGGGCGTCAGGCCCGCTCCCGAGCCGCTGCAGTGCTGCGCGCGCTCTCAACCAACAGCGGCTGTCGCAGTTGCAATCATCACAGTCGTGGTGGCGACAGCGGCGACTCTCGCCCGTATCGTCGCCGTTGCCGCGCTCGCCGCCACCTTCTCGCGGCGGGCTGCCATCTTCGTCATCACGGCGGCCTCTGAGGCGAGTCGAATCGCCGCTGCGGCTCCTCTGCCTGCCGCCTGTCGCCGCTTGATCGGTCCCCATCTGTTCCCCGCGCAGCATCTGCGCCGGTACCTTCCGCGTGCGCGTTTCAGACAGCCCGCCGCCCGCGCCCATCACAGGCGAGGGGTCGTCCCAGCGGTAGACATAACGCGGGGAGCGCCGCGGACCCCACAGACGCGAAGAGGGCGGGCTGGTTGCGGATTTGCGCACGGAAAGCCATTCCGCGGGAAGTCAATACGCGGGCGGCCAACACGCGGGCGGCCAACACGCGGGCGGCCAACACGCGGGCGGCCAACACGCGGGCGGCCAACACGCGGGCGGCCAACACGCGGGCGGCCAACACGCGGGCAGCCAACACGCGGGCGGCCACGGCGCTGATGGCGACTCTCAGGCGCGCAGCAGCATTGACGCGCTCACGGGCGATGCAGCTGCAGATGTGCGCGCGGACAGGGGGGTGGGGGGAAAGGTGGGGGTGGGGGTGGGCGGGGGGACAACAAGCTGGGGGAGAGGCAGGCATCACGTTTGGCGAAGACATGATGTGGTGCGGGCTGGCAGGCGACCACATGTTTTTTTAGACTTCTCAAAACAACATACTCGACCACATGCAGCAGGTGGGCGCAGCAGGTGGGCGCAGCAGGTGGGCGCAGCAGGTGGGCGCAGCAGGAGTCATGCCTTTTGAGTCTGACGAGGCGCGTGGTGGGGGCTCGCGTGGCACATGCGAGTGTTGCGTGTGAGTGAGTGTGGGCGTGGCGGCAAGGCGATGGCGAGGCCATGCGGGTGCACCTTTCCAGCGCCGCCACTCGCGCGCCCACGGCTTCGCCCGATGCTCGAGTTCAACGTTGCCTCGTGTGGCACGAACGGCCATGCAGCCCGCACAGCCCTTGTGTATCTATCGCAGCACCGTTCTCTGATTCGTTTGCTTGAGCCTGGACTGGTCATGCCAGAGCGTGGGGTGCGGGTGGCAGGAGGCAGCAGACTAATGCGACTGCAGTGTGATGAGACGCCTCTCTTCACTGCAGTGTGATGAGACGCCTCTCTTCACTGCAGTGTGATGAGACGCCTCTCTTCACTGCAGTGTGATGAGACGCCTCTCTTCACTGCAGTGTGATGAGACGCCTCTCTTCACTGCAGTGTGATGAGACGCCTCTCTTCACTGCAGTGTGATGAGACGCCTCTCTCCACTGCAGTGTGATGAGACGCCTCTCTTAACTGCAGTGTGATGAGACGCCTCTCTTCACTGCAGTGTGATGAGACGCCTCTCTTCACTGCACCGCCCCACGACACTCCTCTGGTCGCTGATGCTTCACTGGCGAGCAGGCCGCTTCAGCAACCCGTGCCCCTGCGTGTCTGCTGTGGGCAGCGGTGCCCCGCGGGTCTGTGCCTCGGGACGGCTCACGACAGCTTAGGGGACTTCCACACTGTGCAGGTGCGTGAGGGGCGGATGGGGATGGGAGAGCTGTGGGGATAGCAAGAGGACAAAAGAGGGAGGGAAAAGGGGGGGAGGGGGGGTGAGGGAGAGAACTTGAATGGATGGGGAAGATGGCAAGGGGTTGTCAACGCGTTGGGATGTGAAAGGATGGGGTGGGTAAAGTGCTGCGCTGATGTTGTTTTCGCCTTTCCTCTTCCCTGCCCCACCCCCTCTCTCTCCCCATCCATTTCCTCTCCCTCCGCCGCTCCTCCTCTCCCACCTTCCCTACTCTCTCCCTCCTCCCACTCCCCCTCTCCTCTCACTCTCCCCCTACTCTCACTCCCCCCTCCTCTACTTCCCCGTCTCCCCTCACTCCACCTCTCCTCTCACTCCCCCTCTTTTCTCCCTCCCCTCTCCTCTCTCAGCGGTAGACGCGTCTGGCGTTGCAGCAGTGGGCGTGGGCTTTGGGAGCGTGGCAGGGAGGCAGGGAGGGAGGCAGGCAGGGAGGCAGGGAGGGAGGCAGGCAGGGAGGCAGGGAGGGAGGCAGGCAGGGAGGGTCAGCCCAGCAGGCTGCGGCTTTCCCCCAGACGGGGGACGGCGCTGCTTTCTGCAAGTGCCACTTCTTCAGATGGCAGGTGGGGATGCGGTGGGGTGTGGTAGGTTGCAGTGTGGTGCGGTAGGTTGGGATGGATGGACAAGTGCAGCCTGCAATCAGCATGCACAGCAAGCTGAGTGCACCCGTCTCTCTCCACTGCGGCAGGTGCACTCGCATCCTCATTTTCCACTCTTTTTCCGTGGCAGGCAACACACTCTGTGAATCAATCTTGTCTCATTCCACCAGCTCAAACTCCCCCCCCCCCCCCGGCTCACCCTTCCCCCTCCCCCTCCCTTTTCCCGCCCCCTCCTTCCCCCCCCCCCCCCGGCACAACTCTGCCCCTCCTCCCCACCCGCAGCAACAGGACACACTTAACATGCACGGCGGGTGGCCATGATTAGTCTTGTGAGGCAGCTTGGGCGGTATGGCATCCTCACTCACTCAACTCAACTGCACCACCAAGTTCAAACGGTTAACAGCTCACGAAACAGCTTGCTGGTTGCGTTCACAGAAGTCTAGTTGCAGCCCAACTTCATGATACGGTATGCTGGCTTCCCTCAACCTTCGTGCTGTCTTGTCATTACGTTTTCCAAAATTCATGCTGACTCAATATCAGTAACGTGGAAAACTCCAACTGAAAATGGAAAACACTATACAGGAATATTGTCTGTCAACCACACGATAAGTGAATAGCCGTACAATACACATACCGTAACATGCGGATGAAGCAAATGAGGCCTCTAAGAAAGCAGACTTCAGCTTTTTCTCAACCTGATGGTGTGTTATGAGTTGTACGAAAGAAGAGTGCGCGTATTCAATAACGCGGGAGTGATTACAACTACTGAGCAAGCAACGAGGCCTAGGCATAATATAGCAAAGCTAGCTAGGCCGAGGTCGCGGGGTCCCACGAAGGTTGGGTGCAGGTTTGGGGTTGGGAAACCCGAAGGCGACGCGGAGGACGTTCGGAAGGCGAGGTCGACGGACCGAGCCTGAACTCCGAAAGTTGGAAATGTACGCGTAAGAAGTGCCGCAGTAAGGAATTAGGAAAATTCCTTACACTACCCCCCCCCTTAAGAAAGGTGGTCAATATCAGGCACGCGTCGGCGGGAAAGATACCGTCATCGCCCGGATATAAGACATATATGTCTTATCTCGTACACGGGCAAAAATGCTTGAGTTATCTTGTAAACGGGATGGTTTAGGGTGTCTTATAAGTCTTATAAATGGAAACTTTTTAAACTACTTAGAAATATTTTCCGTACTTCTTTAAAAAGAGTTTCTCATAATGCGTGTGGATGTTGCGAAGGTGCCACTTCGATAACCTCTGCCCGAGACGCCACGTTATGGAGAACACCTGCAGGGGCTCCGTCGACGGTCCGCGAAGCAGTCTTCACGGCAGAAGGCCAAGGAGATAAAGGGGAGATTCGTGGGTATTACTCATCGGCCCTGGAATGGCCGATGGGTTGCTAGACTAGTTTGCGAACGTCGGAAAGACGGCCACATCATCATTGGCAGCCACTTTGGAAATGAAGAAGAAGCCGCGAGATCACTTGCTGCGGGATCACATGTGCTGTTTGGGCCGCACAATGGACCCCAAGGGAGAGTGATAGGCCTGTCTGATAAAGAGAAGGACAGTTTGAGTGACTGTCCTAAGGACACATGCCTGGCTATGATCCGGCACAAGTTCTGGCACCGGTGGGAGAACTTGAGGGAAGCTTGGCCTGAATGTCAGAACATTATAGCTTATGCTGTTGTGTAGGCTATAGTGGGGTATCCCATAGGGGGTACAACCAATTAGGGTTTCATATTTGTACTCACTTCATTTCATAGTTCATTCATTCTTGTTCAAATCTTCTCATGGTATCGAGCAGGTTCCCCCTTGGGAACTGTGCTTAGGGCCCACCACATCGATTTTTTTTTTTTCCTGCCCGAAGCGCGCTCAGCCCGAGTCGCGCTCCGGGCCCTCACTTCGTCGAGCCGCCCTAGCGGCCCTGCACTGCGGCCCCGCCACCCGTCTCCGCAGCCCCGCCGCCCGTCTTCGCGGCCCCGCCGCCTCTCTCCTAGCGGCCCCGCCGCCCTACCTAGCGGCCCCGCCGCCCTACCTCGCGGCCTCGCCGCCCCATTGCGCGGCCCCGCCGCCCTACCTAGCGGCCCCGCCGCCCCATCGCGGCCCCGCCGCCCCATCGCGCGGCCCCGCCGCCCTACCTAGCGGCCCCGCCGCCCTACCTAGCGGCCCCGCCGCCCCATCGCGCGGCCCCGCCGCCCCATCGCGCGGCCCCGCCGCCCTTCCTCGCGGCCCCGCCGCCCCATCGCGCGGCCCCGCCGCCCTACCTAGCGGCCCCGCCGCCCTTCCTCGCGGCCCCGCCACCTTACCTGCAGCCCCGCCACCTTACCTGCGGCCCCGCCACCTTACCTGCGGCCCCGCCGCCCTCTGCTGCGGCCCCGCCACCCTATCTGCGGCCCCGCCACCCTACCCGCGGCCACGCCGCCCTTACCAGCGGCCCCGCCGCCCTTACCTGCGGCCCCGTCACCGAGCCGCCCAGCAGCCGAGCCGCCCAGCGGCCGCGCCGCCCAGCAGCCGAGCCGCCCAGCAGCGGAGCCGCCGAGCCGCCGGGCCGCCCAGCCGCTGAGCCGCCGAGCCGCCGCGCCGCCCTCCTTCAGGGCCGCCCGACCTGCCCAGTCTGGTGAGCACAGCGCCTTTTCACTGCACTGTCCTCACCCTACTGTTTGCGCTGCTAGTCGTCTAGGGTCATGGCTACCCCTAGTGTTCTCGCCTTTGACGCTGAGGGTAGGGCCATTGACTTTGAGGTCTGGGTAGATGACCTGCAGCTGTTCTTACAGTGCGATAGGGCAGACGGCCTCTCTCTCTTTGACCTCACCTCTGGCACCTCCACTGCCCCTGCTGCTGATGCTGACGCCACTGTTCGCTCCCAGTGGGCCACGCGCGACGCTGCTGCACGTCTTGCTGTGCGTCGCCACCTCCCTACCTCCGAGCGTGCGCACTTTAGTCAGTACAAGAGTGCTCAGACCTTGTACGACGCTGTAGTTGCGCGCTACTCCTCCCCTGCCACTGCTGCACTGAGCCGTCTCATGCTACCGTACCTCTTTCCTGATCTTGCTGCCTTTCCCACAGTCACTGACCTCATTACGCACCTCCGCACTAGTGACACTCGCTACCGCGCTGCACTCCCTCCTGACTTCTGCGCCAGGAACCCCCCCCCCATGTACATCACTCTTTACTACATAGTCACTCGCCTTCCTGACTCCCTTCGCGTAGTCAGGGACCACTTTCTCTCTGTCTGTCCCACCACTCTCACTGTTGACCTCCTCGAGAAGTCCCTCCTAGCGGCCGAGAAGAGCATAGTCGCTGTAGGGGCCTCTCGTGGTGACCCGCGCACCCCCATCTTTGAGGGGTGTTCCCCCTCCCCCCTTCTGCCCTCTGTTGCCTCTGCTGCTGCGGCCGACCTCCTTGTTCTTGAGTCGGTCGGTGCGGCGTCTGCCCCTAGCGGGAGACGCCGCTCTGGCAAGGGCAAGGGGGGCAAGGGCGCTGGAGGAGCGAGCGGGGGCGGTGGAGGTGGAGGTGGCGGCAGTTGGGGGAGTGGGGGTGGCGGTGGGAGTGGAGGTGGGGGTGGAGGGGTCGGTGGCGGCAGTGGAGGTGGAGGTGGCGGCGGCGGTGGCGGTGGGAGCGGAGGTGGCGGAGGTGGCGGCAGTAGCGGAGGCGGCGGAGGCGTCGGAGGCGGCGGGGGTGGCGGTGGTGCTGGTCGCGGGTCTTCGCAGAGGAGTGGCTCCGGTGGTGGCTCGCGCCAGCAGCAGCAGCGTGGTCGTGACACCCTGTCCCCTCAGCAGCTTCGTGAGTGGTACA